AAGGTGGAGGAGAGGAGGACACGTCTGTTGAAACAAAACTGTTGGAAATTAAAGCTTATATCAGAAAAATGGAAGAATTGGGGATGGATTCACCTCTAGGCACTGCAGGAGCAACAGTACCAATCCAGATGTCTGCTAAAGAAAAGATAGAAGTCGATGGTCGCTCCATATATGTGGGTAATGTTGACTATGGGGCGACAGCAGAAGAACTTGCTCAACACTTTCATGGATGTGGTCCCGTTAAAAAAGTTACTATTCTTTCAAATAAGTATACTGGCCACCCCAAAGGCTTTGCATATATGGAGTTTGGAGAAATAGACTCAGTTGAAGTGGCCATGTCACTTGATGGCTCACTCTTCAGAGGCCGACCACTGAAGGTAAGGCCTAAGCGTACAAACCTGCCAGGTATTACCACCAGACATCGACCTCCACGTGTCATGAGAGCTGTCGTCCGTGGGCGAGGACGCTTTTATTCTGGATATCGACCAATGAGACCATACAGGAGCCGGAAGGTCTTCTACAGCCCTTATTAATGGTCATACATTGCATGGAAGATTCCTACTTCCACTATTGGTTTACTAAACGATATTAGAATTAGAACTCAAATACAATACAATTATTTTTATGTAAATAATTAATAAAAATTAATTAAAAATGTTTTGTTTCACATACCAATTATAATTAATAGAATGTTAATAAATAGATGTAAACGCATCCAATTTATCCTACAACTACAGTTGTTGTTTTCGATTCAGTTATTCAGAATATAATTTCCATGTAGTAGGGGCTATAGTGAGCTCGTAATTGAGTTCGGTTAATCACAAAAAGCTTGTTACTGTGATATCTGGGTCATAGTTATAAATAAAGGCAGAATTTCCTTCTTTTTGTACTGATTTAAGCTTTTGTTGGAATTACGTATTCTTGGTGGTGGATATAGAACGGAATAATGAAACGGAAGCTTGAAAGACGAGTACCCAGTGGCATGTTCGTACCATATAGCAGTGGATCATCCTTCTGCTACTTTAGCTCTGTGGCGAGTTGTGAGTATTTTCTTCCCAATATGCTCCTTAATCTGTGAAAAACTTAGATATTTTAACCTTTACAACACAAGGTAGAGCAGTGGCAGTATTTGCTAGTCTAACATTTCATTGCCAAATTGGATACCAATGTGACTTGGTATCCAATTTAGGGTGATTGACAGCATTAAATTGTGGGCTTCTTTTCCTAGATGTAGTATTTCTGTGATGGGTTGTATATTATCTCTGTGCTGGCTGGATAACAATGCCTGGAGCGAAGATTTAGAGTCGGTATGAATGATGACATCATGCAGACGAGGAGTCACAACAACGAAATATGTTGACCAAACCACTCACTAGAAAGTGAAGGGACGACGACATTTCGGTTCATCCTGAACCATTCTTTTTGTTGATTGTGTTGAAAAGTTGATTGTGATACCCACGACAATCGACTTGAAAATGGATCGAAACGTCGTCGTCCCTTCACTTTCTAATGTGTGGTTTGGTCAACAGGACATCATGTAAATTATTCTCAATAGTATAATTATTGCCTCCTTCAGAGCATATAATTCTGTTTGCAATGTTGAGCACCCACTATTTATGCTCTAGTAATCATCATGGTTGTTAATGTAAACTGCTGCCCCAGCAGAACCTCTTTCTTGATCAACTGATCCCCCATGTGGGTGGGGGACGAGGACAGGTTGACTAGTCTGACAGTTACGGGTTGATATTATTAAACAAATAGTCAAAACTCAAACGAAACAAGTCCCCAGTTTGCGACGGTGCTTAAAGAATGCGAAGAAGAGCTTTGCGATCCATTGCATACCATATTTAATAAATCATTAGAGTGAGGCAGAGTGCCAGAGTCGTGGAAGGTTGCTAATGTGGTACCAATTTTTAAGAAAAGAGATAGATCACTTGCATCAAACGATCGGCCAATCAGCCTAACGTCTATTGTGGGAAAGCTACTTAAGAACATAAGAACATGGGCAAGATATAGCTGAAGAACAACACCAGGTGTCTTGTTACTAACGCTTCGATTAATAAATCCCAGTGTCCTATTTGCCTTATTACGAACATTCATGCATTGATCCTTATGTTTTAAATTCTTACTAATCATAACTCTCAGATCCTTTTCGCAATCTCAACACCAACTAGCTCAAATCTTGTAACTTTATCATCATTACCTAGCCTCAGAACATTACATTTATCAACATTAAACTGCATCTGCCAATCTTTTGACCATTTCAAAACCCTATTTAGATCAACTTGAAGTGATAGTGAGTCTTCTTCCGTGTTAATTTCCCTACTGATTTTTGTATCATCTGCAAATTTGCAGGTGTTGCTACTCAAACCTGACTCTAAATCATTTATATATATTATAAACAACAGAGGTCCCAGGACAGAGCTTTGAGGCACTCCACTAACAACATTAACCCACTCTTACTTAACCCCAGTTAAGAGTTAGAGTTAGTATAAATATACTAACTCTCTGTTTCCTTTGGAATAACCATGCCCTAATCCAACTTAATATAGCACCCCCAATACCATGAGCCTCTATTTTTTAATCAGTCTTTCATGTGGCACTGTATCAAAAGCTTTGCTAAAGTCAAGGTACACAACATCACAATCCTTTCCACTATCAACTGCCTCAACTATGCTGGAATAAAAAGATAGCAAATTTGTTAAACATGAACGGCCATTTGTAAAATCATGTTGCAAATCATTTATTAATTTATGTTTTTCCAGATGAAGACGAATTGTATTTGCAATTATCGATTCAAGTAACTTTCCCACAATAGACGTTAGGCTAATTGGCTGATAATTTGACCCAAGTGATCTCCTTTCTTAAAAATTGGTACCACATTAGCTACCTTCCATGACTCTGGACTCTACCTAACTCTATTGATTTATTAAATATGGTAGACAATGGCTCGGAAAGCTCCTCTTTGCATTCTTTAAGCACCCTGGCAAACACTTCATCCGGCCCTGGGTATTTGTTTGGTTTGAGTTTTACTATTTGTTTAATTACATCCTCCCTGGTAACTGCTAAACTAGTCAACCTGTCTTCGTCCCCACCCACAAATATTTGTTCGGCTGAAGGCATATTTTTAAGTTCCAAAAAAACTCAAAATTTGAGTTCCAAAACTAAAAAAAAACTTTAGGATTTGTCTTTGCTTGCTCTGCTATGCGAACTTAGTAGTTTCTTTTTGCTTTCCTTATCTCTGTTTTAACATTTCTAACCAGTTGTACGAATTCCTGTCCTAAACTAACTTCCCCATTCTCAATCCTTTTGTACCACGCTCTTTTTACCTATAAGGTTCTTCAGATCCTTTGTTATGCACTTTGGATCATTAGTATTCGATCTATTCGTATAGTCTCCGTGGTGTAGTGGTAAGAAACTCGCCTATCGTTCCGCGAGCGCTTTGTCATGGGTTCGTATCGTATCCTGGCCGGGAGGATTTACTGGGCGCAAATCCTTAACTGTAACCTCTGTTTAACTCAACAGTAAAATGAGTACTTGGTTGTAAAAATGATTCTTCGCTGCGGGGATCGTATTCCAGGGACCTGCACGAAACGCTACGCGTACTAGTGGCTGTACAAGAATGTTACAACTCTTGTGACAAAAAAAAGAACAAAAATCAATTTATATGGTATACTACGTTCCTGGGCTTTGCTTAGAATATTTTTAAATAGGTTATATTTTGAATCTACATCGAAATCCCCTTTTCCAATTTATACCCATTGTTTTGTGTTCTGTCTTGTGTTGATACTTTTAATACCCTATTAATATCTCCTTTGTTATGTCCATTCATCTACTTGTAAACCTCTATCATGTCACCCCTAACTCTTCACCTTTCCAGTGAATGCAATTTAAGCTTTGTTAATCTTTCTTCATATGAAAGCTTTCTAATTTGGGAAATTTGCTTAGTTATTCTACGCTGGACACGTTCAAGTGAATTTATATCCGTTCTATAGTACGGCGACCAAAACTGAACTGCATAATCTAAATGGGGCCTAACCAGAGCAAGGTATAGCTGAAGAACTACAATAGGTATCTTGTTACTAACGATAATTGATTCATTTGAGGCATCACGCTATTGTGATTACTGTGTGTAATGATCGTATAATTACACGATACGAGCTAGATAGTTTTGAGATTGCGAAGTTGGATTGCCGAAGGGATATGTGAGTTATGATAATTAAGAATTAAAAACCAAATAATCAATGCATAAATGTTCGTATCAAGTCATACAGGACACAGGGATTTATTAATCGTTACTTTATTAATAAGGTACCTGGTGTTATTCTTCAGCTATGTCTTGCTCTTGTTAGGCACCATTTAGATTATGTATTTCAGATTTGGTCGTCGTAATGGATATTCGTTCTATAGCGAAGAATTATGGATGACATGACTGAGGAGTACAAGTGGATGAATGGACATAACAACGGGGATATTAATGCGGTAATAAAAGTATGAACACGAAAGGCGAAGAGTTAGGGGTGACATGATAGAGGTTTACAAGTGGATGAATGGACATAACAGGGGGGATATTAATAGGGTATTAAAAATATCAACACATGACAGAACACGAAACAATGGGTATAAATTGGATAAGTTCAGATTTAGGAAAGATTTGGGTAAATAGCTCAGCCAGAAGCAACACCTCGGGTCTGCCACCAGCCGCACTACTCTCTACAGCTAATCACGACGCTATCTCATATTTTGTTTACTCACCAACCTCATCATCAACAGGGCATTTGTCACTATTCGTTGTCATATCCCAGTCATCTCTATTTCCTGTGACGATGGAAAATGAAGAACTGATTTATGATAATGTTTACAGTAGCGGCGAAGACGAGAACTCTGAAGGTGGAGGAGAGGAGGACACGTCTGTTGAAACAAAACTGTTGGAAATTAAAGCTTATATCAGAAAAATGGAAGAATTGGGGATGGATTCACCTCTAAGCACTGCAGGAGCAACAGTACCAATCCAGATGTCTGCTAAAGAAAAGATAGAAGTCGATGGTCGCTCCATATATGTGGGTAATGTTGACTATGGGGCGACAGCAGAAGAACTTGCTCAACACTTTCATGGATGTGGTCCCGTTAAAAAAGTTACTATTCTTTCAAATAAGTATACTGGCCACCCCAAAGGCTTTGCATATATGGAGTTTGGAGAAATAGACTCAGTTGAAGTGGCCATGTCACTTGATGGCTCACTCTTCAGAGGCCGACCACTGAAGGTAAGGCCTAAGCGTACAAACCTGCCAGGTATTACCACCAGACATCGACCTCCACGTGTCATGAGAGCTGTCGTCCGTGGGCGAGGACGCTTTTATTCTGGATATCGACCAATGAGACCATACAGGAGCCGGAAGGTCTTCTACAGCCCTTATTAATGGTCATACATTGCATGGAAGATTCCTACTTCCACTATTGGTTTACTAAACGATATTAGAATTAGAACTCAAATACAATACAATTATTTTTATGTTTTATATTTTTTATGTTTATATTTTTATGGATTCCTCCCTTGCTCCTAACTAACTCTATGGCTGTTTTATACCTCTGAATCAGTTCCTCACTCCTGACTCGACCAACATCATTTCCTCCCACGCTAATGCAAATAATGGGATTGTTCCCATTACCAGCCATAATATCATTCATGTTGTTTATAATATCACCAATGCCAGCTCCGGGATAGCAAACCCTTAACCTGTTCCCCCTATCTCTAGCACTAATTTCTAACCAGTTGTACGAATTCCTGTCCTAAACTAACTTCCCCATTCTCAATCCTTTTGTACCACGCTCTTTTTACCTATAAGGTTCTTCAGATCCTTTGTTATCCACTTTGGATCATTAGTATTCGATCTATTCGTATAGTCTCCGTGGTGTAGTGGTAAGAAACTCGCCCATCGTTCCGCGAGCGCTTTGTCATGGGTTCGTATCGTATCCTGGCCGGGAGGATTTACTGGGCGCAAATCCTTAACTGTAACCTCTGTTTAACTCAACAGTAAAATGAGTACTTGGTTGTAAAAATGATTCTTCGCTGCGGGGATCGTATTCCAGGGACCTGCCCGAAACGCTACGCGTACTAGTGGCTGTACAAGAATGTTACAACTCTTGTGACAAAAAAAAGAACAAAAATCAATTTATATGGTATACTACGTTCCTGGGCTTTGCTTAGAATATTTTTAAATAGGTTATATTTTGAATCTACATCGAAATCCCCTTTTCCAATTTATACCCATTGTTTTGTGTTCTGTCTTGTGTTGATACTTTTAATACCCTATTAATATCTCCTTTGTTATGTCCATTCATCTACTTGTAAACCTCTATCATGTCACCCCTAACTCTTCACCTTTCCAGTGAATGCAATTTAAGCTTTGTTAATCTTTCTTCATATGAAAGCTTTCTAATTTGGGAAATTTGCTTAGTTATTCTACGCTGGACACGTTCAAGTGAATTTATATCCGTTCTATAGTACGGCGACCAAAACTGAACTGCATAATCTAAATGGGGCCTAACCAGAGCAAGGTATAGCTGAAGAACTACAATAGGTATCTTGTTACTAACGATAATTGATTCATTTGAGGCATCACGCTATTGTGATTACTGTGTGTAATGATCGTATAATTACACGATACGAGCTAGATAGTTTTGAGATTGCGAAGTTGGATTGCCGAAGGGATATGTGAGTTATGATAATTAAGAATTAAAAACCAAATAATCAATGCATAAATGTTCGTATCAAGGCATACAGGACACAGGGATTTATTAATCGTTACTTTATTAATAAGGTACCTGGTGTTATTCTTCAGCTATGTCTTGCTCTTGTTAGGCACCATTTAGATTATGTATTTCAGATTTGGTCGTCGTAATGGATATTCGTTCTATAGCGAAGAATTATGGATGACATGACTGAGGAGTACAAGTGGATGAATGGACATAACAACGGGGATATTAATGCGGTAATAAAAGTATGAACACGAAAGGCGAAGAGTTAGGGGTGACATGATAGAGGTTTACAAGTGGATGAATGGACATAACAGGGGGGATATTAATAGGGTATTAAAAATATCAACACATGACAGAACACGAAACAATGGGTATAAATTGGATAAGTTCAGATTTAGGAAAGATTTGGGTAAATAGCTCAGCCAGAAGCAACACCTCGGGTCTGCCACCAGCCGCACTACTCTCTACAGCTAATCACGACGCTATCTCATATTTTGTTTACTCACCAACCTCATCATCAACAGGGCATTTGTCACTATTCGTTGTCATATCCCAGTCATCTCTATTTCCTGTGACGATGGAAAATGAAGAACTGATTTATGATAATGTTTACAGTAGCGGCGAAGACGAGAACTCTGAAGGTGGAGGAGAGGAGGACACGTCTGTTGAAACAAAACTGTTGGAAATTAAAGCTTATATCAGAAAAATGGAAGAATTGGGGATGGATTCACCTCTAGGCACTGCAGGAGCAACAGTACCAATCCAGATGTCTGCTAAAGAAAAGATAGAAGTCGATGGTCGCTCCATATATGTGGGTAATGTTGACTATGGGGCGACAGCAGAAGAACTTGCTCAACACTTTCATGGATGTGGTCCCGTTAAAAAAGTTACTATTCTTTCAAATAAGTATACTGGCCACCCCAAAGGCTTTGCATATATGGAGTTTGGAGAAATAGACTCAGTTGAAGTGGCCATGTCACTTGATGGCTCACTCTTCAGAGGCCGACCACTGAAGGTAAGGCCTAAGCGTACAAACCTGCCAGGTATTACCACCAGACATCGACCTCCACGTGTCATGAGAGCTGTCGTCCGTGGGCGAGGACGCTTTTATTCTGGATATCGACCAATGAGACCATACAGGAGCCGGAAGGTCTTCTACAGCCCTTATTAATGGTCATACATTGCATGGAAGATTCCTACTTCCACTATTGGTTTACTAAACGATATTAGAATTAGAACTCAAATACAATACAATTATTTTTATGTAAATAATTAATAAAAATTAATTAAAAATGTTTTGTTTCACATACCAATTATAATTAATATAATGTTAATAAATAGATGTAAACGCATCCAATTTATCCTACAACTACAGTTGTTGTTTTCGATTCAGTTATTCAGAATATAATTTCCATGTAGTAGGGGCTATAGTGAGCTCGTAATTGAGTTCGGTTAATCACAATAAGCTTGTTACTGTGATATCTGGGTCATAGTTATAAATAAAGGCAGAATTTCCTTCTTTTTGTACTGATTTAAGCTTTTGTTGGAATTACGTTATCTTGGTGGTGGATATAGAACGGAATAATGAAACGGAAGCTTGAAAGACGAGTACCCAGTGGCATGTTCGTACCATATAGCAGTGGATCGTCCTTCTGCTACTTTAGCTCTGTGGCGAGTTGTGAGTATTTTCTTCCCAATATGCTCCTTAATCTGTGAAAAACTTAGATATTTTAACCTTTACAACACAAGGTAGAGCAGTGGCAGTATTTGCTAGTCTAATATTTCATTGCCAAATTGGATACCAATGTGACTTGGTATCCAATTTAGGGTGATTGACAGCATTAAATTGTGGGCTTCTTTTCCTAGATGTAGTATTTCTGTGATGGGTTGTATATTATCTCTGTGCTGGCTGGATAACAATGCCTGGAGCGAAGATTTAGAGTCGGTATGAATGATGACATCATGCAGACGAGGAGTCACAACAACGAAATATGTTGACCAAACCACTCACTAGAAAGTGAAGGGACGACGACATTTCGGTTCATCCTGAACCATTCTTTTTGTTGATTGTGTTGAAAAGTTGATTGTGATACCCACGACAATCGACTTGAAAATGGATCGAAACGTCGTCGTCCCTTCACTTTCTAATGTGTGGTTTGGTCAACAGGACATCATGTAAATTATTCTCAATAGTATAATTATTGCCTCCTTCAGAGCATATAATTCTGTTTGCAATGTTGAGCACCCACTATTTATGCTCTAGTAATCATCATGGTTGTTAATGTAAACTGCTGCCCCAGCAGAACCTCTTTCTTGATCAACTGATCCCCCATGTGGGTGGGGACGAGGACAGGTTGACTAGTCTGACAGTTACGGGTTGATATTATTAAACAAATAGTCAAAACTCAAACGAAACAAGTCCCCAGTTTGCGACGGTGCTTAAAGAATGCGAAGAGGAGCTTTGCGATCCATTGCATACCATATTTAATAAATCATTAGAGTAAGGCAGAGTGCCAGAGTCGTGGAAGGTTGCTAATGTGGTACCAATTTTTAAGAAAAGAGATAGATCACTTGCATCAAACGATCGGCCAATCAGCCTAACGTCTATTGTGGGAAAGCTACTTAAGAACATAAGAACATGGGCAAGATATAGCTGAAGAACAACACCAGGTGTCTTGTTACTAACGCTTCGATTAATAAATCCCAGTGTCCTATTTGCCTTATTACGAACATTCATGCATTGATCCTTATGTTTTAAATTCTTACTAATCATAACTCTCAGATTCTTTTCGCAATCTCAACACCAACTAGCTCAAATCTTGTAACTTTATCATCATTACCTAGCCTCAGAACATTACATTTATCAACATTAAACTGCATCTGCCAATCTTTTGACCATTTCAAAACCCTATTTAGATCAACTTGAAGTGATAGTGAGTCTTCTTCCGTGTTAATTTCCCTACTGATTTTTGTATCATCTGCAAATTTGCAGGTGTTGCTACTCAAACCTGACTCTAAATCATTTATATATATTATAAACAACAGAGGTCCCAGGACAGAGCTTTGGGGCACTCCACTAACAACATTAACCCACTCTTACTTAACCCCAGTTAAGAGTTAGAGTTAGTATAAATATACTAACTCGTTTCCTTTGGAATAACCATTTGTGGAGCCGGTCGGCCGAGCGGACAGCACGCGGGACTTGTGATCCTGTGGTCCTGGGTTCGATCCCAGGCGCCGGCGAGAAACAATGGGCAGAGTTTCTTTCACCCTATGCCCCTGTTACCTAGCAGTAAAATAGGTACCTGGGTGTTAGTCAGCTGTCACGGGCTGCTTCCTGGGGGTGGAGGCCTGGTCGAGGACCGGGCCGCGGGGACACTAAAGCCCCGAAATCATCTCAAGATAACCTCAAGAAGATGCCCTAATCCAACTTAATATAGCACCCCCAATACCATGAGCCTCTATATTTTAATCAGTCTTTCATGTGGCACTGTATCAAAAGCTTTGCTAAAGTCAAGGTACACAACATCACAATCCTTTCCACTATCAACTGCCTCAACTATGCTGGAATAAAAAGATAGCAAATTTGTTAAACATGAACGGCCATTTGTAAAATCATGTTGCAAATCATTTATTAATTTATGTTTTTCCAGATGAAGACGAATTGTATTTGCAATTATCGATTCAAGTAACTTTCCCACAATAGACGTTAGGCTAATTGGCTGATAATTTGACCCAAGTG